GACGTATGGCGGTAGAGAGTGTTACGAGGAAGAGGGCGGCTGCGTCCAGACTCAGATGATGTCCTGACGCCCGCGCAGAGGTCTGGAGGAAGGATGTATATTCTCGTGACAGCCAGGATAAGAGGCATCGAAGAGGGGGGGGGGTGGATGGTGACAAAACCAAAATGTTGCCCCTGGGGCAAGAGGCCCTGGGAAGGGTGAGAGGAGAAAGGGTTGGAAGCTTTAGAAAGGCCTTAAAAGTGCATGACTGTGAATGTGAATGGACTGTGTACTGGTGTGAAGAGGGAATGCTTTCGTATGCTCTTACGTCGATACAGAGTGGACGTAGTCTTTCAAACAGGAGCATAATTTCAGGGAGGGTAGAGTGCTCGAGGTAAAACAGTGTTGACTCTGCCATCGGCACGTTTTGAAAGGTGGTGTGGGTTTATTGATAAAGGAGGCGAGCCCGTTTGTGTTGCAAAGACGTGAAGGGGGGGGGGGGGGGAGGGTTGTTGCATGTGGATGGGTTGGGGATGGGGCAGAGGGTAACCTTTGTAAGTGTGTATGCACAGGCTGAAAATTGATATGAAAGTCAAGAGGGATTTTGTGTGTGATGATTAGTTTTTGCTTTCCGTGGTTTACCTGAAGTGGCCATCGTAGGTGGTGACTGGAATTGTGGGGTCAGGAGAGGGGATGTGGAACCACGAGGGGCAGGGCATTGTTGACAGCATTACCAATCTTTTGGTGGACGTTCATTTGAGGGATGTGGTAGGTGGGGAGCGTGGGAGGTGGAGCATACTTTCGTGAGGCGAGGTTACGCAGCTAGGTTAGACAGGTTGTATATATCTCAAAGGTATTGTCAACGTCTGTCCGTACTATTGAACTAGCTTTTTCAGATCATAGGGCGGTTGTCGCAGAAGTAGAGTGGAATTCTCTAGCTTGTATCTCTAGGGGATATTGGAAATTAAATACGAGTCTCTTGGAAGATGAGGAGGGTTTGGGGGTTTTACGGAGTGGGGGAGAGATTAACTGAGGAGGTACAAGGTGTGGAGGAGTGGTGACGTGGTGGGATGGTGTGGCTAAGGACCGGATTCGGCATTATTATGTGAGGGGGGGGAAAAAGGATTAATTCTTTAAAATTTGGGTTGATTAATTATTTGGAGGACAGGTTACGGGGTTGTTATGTAAAAGGGACAGTAGGGGGTTTGTCTATCCAAATGGACGACATTATGAACTTAAAGAGCTGTTGCGAGAAATTCAGGACAAAGCGGTTCCAAGCGGTGAGAGTAATGGCGGGTGGGAGGAGGTGTTATGGGGTGATAGGTCGTCTTCGTGTGTGTTGCGCAGACAAAAACAATGTCGGCAGGCAACAAATTTTCCCATGTTTGGGGGTTCTTGAGTCCGTGGGAGGGGATAGGGGGGTCTGGTTATCCACACTATGGATGGGGTGGGGTTCTTTTCGGATCAGTGGTACGAAAAGTATTGGCGGGAGGAAGGGGTAGGATTAGGGGGTTTAGAGAGGGTGTGGAAGTGTGGGCCCTGTAGGTTAGGCACAGTGATAGGAAGTTTGGGGGGGACATAACTGAGGGGGAAATAGGAGAGCTTTGAGTGCCATGCAAAAGGGCAAAGCACAGGAATCGATGGACTGCCGGCGGAGTTTTATCGACAGCATTGGGAGTTAATAAAAGCTTTTTGGTGAGGTTACTGAACTTGATGAAGGTAAGGGGAAGGTTGGGTGACAGACAGGCAACAGCTGTAGTTGTTTTGGTACCGAAGGGTAAGGGAACAGCGTTCGCTCAGGGACTATAGAATAATATCGTTGTTATGCGCGGATTATAAGTTATTTGCAAAAATTTTAGGAAATAGGATCAAGTGTGTTGTAGGGAGGGTTGTATCGGAAACCCAGTTTGGGTTGCCAGTAGGTCTATGGGGGTGGGACATGGTCTTTTAAAGGATTTCGTGGAAGAAAAAGGGGGGAAGGGGGGGGTTTGGTTGCACTAGACTGGCAAGGAGCTTATGATAGGGTGGAGCGAGAGGCGTTGAGACTATCCCCAGGAAACAGGGCTATGGGGAAGAAATAGTGGGATGGGTAGAGGCCCTTATATAGAGGGGCAATGGTGAGAGTACAGATTAATGGAAGATTAGGGGGGAGGATTGTAAATGGGCAGAGGTCTTAGACAGGGGTGTCCTATGTCACAGCTTTTATTTTTCGTGCATACAGGACCCCTTTTATAGAATGGTGGAGCGCCATATGGGCGTTAGTGAAGGGTTGGGGGGACTGAGGGTTTGGCATGTTCTCATAGGGTAGTGGATGGATACCAAATGTATGGTTAGAGAGGGATTCCATAAACCTTAGATGAGTGGTCGAACGTTTGCATGTGCGACTGGGATGAGGTAAATCGGGAAGTCCTGTTATGGGTTAGGAATTGGGGGGAGAGGGTCGAGTGGGGTAGTGCGTCGTTAAAGAACGGGTTGATGTATTAAAATTTGTGGTCTTTTTCTATGCTGATGATCTTGAGGTTTGCAGTGTTAAATTCGGTCAGGTTGGTAAAAAGATATTGGGTCGATTGGGAGCATTGCGGCCTTATTATTTGACCCTTGTGCAGCGTTGCCATTGAATTAACGTTTTATTGTATGCAAGGTTTGGATGTGGCTGCCCTGTTCCCTTTAATGGGGGCGGCAATTGCAACTATACTTAAGAGGGGTTTTAAATTTTTTGTGGGGTTCAGGTTGTGACTGGCTTAGAAGGGATGTAGTAATGTTTTCCTGTGCGTCAGGGGGGTTGGGGTTTTAATTTAACTTAAAGAGGAGGGTTAAATGTATCTTCATTAAAAGGGAGGTGATGAGGGGAGGGTGTGAGTGGGGGGGGGGTTGGTTAAGGTACACAATAAATTGAAACGCATGTTTTCTGGGATGGAGTTGAGGGAGTGTGAAACTATTTTGAGGGGAGTGGTGAATGGTAAGGGATCTGGGTAAGGGGAAAAAAAAGTAGGCTGTGTAGGTGTCGGCGGAAAGGGTTGTGGCTCCGGTGGAGGGGATTTTCCCCATGATGACTGGGGATGTATATGGAGAAGGTTTGGTAGGTTAAGGTTTACAACCCCGTGGACGTGAGGTTGATGTATCGGTTTTTGCATGGGAATTTACCATCGGGAGTGGTCTTACGAGCTAGACAGGTGGTTTAGGGGGGGGGGTATGTGGAATATGTGGGTGGGAGGATTCTGCATTCCATGTAGTGTTTTTTGTGAGGGGTTGGGGAGCGTCAGGGGTTGGTTGAGCAGGTGTTTCATAAGATAAGTGGGCAATACTTCTCTGTTCTTTCGGGCATTGAGTCTTGATGTGAGGGGTATGGATGAAAGGGATTAGGGTGTGGGGTACATTATGGTAGATTATGTCTACATTATGTGGGGCTGGGGGGGAAAGGGGTAAGTGAGGTGAAGAGGCGGGGATTGGCTGTTTACGTTTTATAAAACGTTTTTGCCCTAATAGAGAACTTTATGGGAGGAGGTGGGAGCGGGGATTTCTCTGAGGGATATCGAGACCTTACATTAGAGGTTTTATTAAATTTGTAAATTGGGTGGGTGGGGCAGGGGAAAGGGATGGTACAATGTGTTATGTTTTATGGGCTGTCAGGGGTGGGAAAAAGGGGGCGCCTCCTGGAATGTAGCGGTGAATGTGTATGAACTTGGGCGTAGATGTGTATTCATGGTTTGTGACGAGTATACTCTATTATGTGTTTGATTTTGCAGTGGGATTGTTCTATGTAGTTATTCATATGCATGTTTTAGGTGCTTGTAGAGGTGTCAAGTGTTTTGGATCCTTGTTTATTAATATTTTCTTTTTTGATAAAACATATTTTTTTTTTACCTTAATTGTATTTTACCGTTAAATTGTATTTAACGTAAAAGGTTTGTCCATTTTTAAATTTTTCAACGGGACAATATTTGATTTTATGGTGTGTTTTGTTAATTTAACAATGAATTTGGGAAATTAGTCGTTTTTTTGGTTTACATAGGTGTGGGGGTTTTCATGTAGGGGTGAGGGGGGTTTATTTGTGTTATCTAAAGTTCATGTTTGTGTGGTTGTTAATATTTGGGCTGTGTAAGCCCTGTTTTTGTCTTTATCTATTCTTGTTTTTGTATTGTTCTAAAAAAAATATAAAAAAAAAAAAAAAAAAATTTTGCGAGAGGTGTGCTGTGTACTAAGTTATAAATACAGCTTAAGGCCCAAAGGCGAAGTTTTTTTGTGAATTTAAGAATATTTTGGGGGGGAAAAAGGAGGAATGGTAGTTTGGAATGGGGGTAATTTTCCCATTCGTCATTCGTGCCTGACCACGGTGGATTTGGGGTTTTGTGTCTGGGCACCCTCTGCTGTCTTCAGGCGGCTACCTTAGTTACAAAAAAACCCATTGAGTTTTGAGGACGTGGTGCTCATTGGGATTCAAATGGCGGAACATACGTAGGGAAAGAGTGAATACTATTGCTAGAGCGGGTTCTGGTCGTAAGGGGAGTCGATGAAGCCTTCCCAACTCATCGGAAAATATGGTTTTCCCAAACGGGGAATTGTTGGCGTCCCCCTTAATGGTTTAACAAGAATTTTTGTGAAAATTTTACGGTCGTTTCTACCTGAATTGTCGAGATTCCCAGGAACAAGCTGATGTGAATTCACGATGGATTTTGTTTTTTACATGACGTCTTAAGTACTTACAGGGTAAAGGGTATGGAATGTCCCCTTCGAGGCTACGGCTTAGGGCCTGCAGGATTTTTTTTCAAAAGTTATGGGACAGTGCTTCGCAAAAATGGGGTGTGGAGGGATGGCCCCTAGAAGGAATGCCGGAATTTTACCCCCTTAAAAGACTTTAAAAGGGCCTATACCATCCTATTTCGATGACGGTTGTAAACACGGTTTTATGTGTACTATGTGGGCAACGGAAAACTGTCGTCTATGTAGCTCTTATGAGCACATGGCAGCCGTGCCCTAGGAGGCGGGCTTCTCAAATTCTCACACTCCAATTGTTTCAACAGTGGAAATTTTGGTCCCTGGCTCTGATCCCTCGGGAGCCGGAGGAATGCCCTTTGGGAGCGAAGAGGCGACCGGGAGTGGCGGCGGCGGGGGGAAATGTGTCCCTCCAGGGGCGGGGATTGAAGGTAAATTTGAGGAGACTTTCGTCCAGGAAGCTTCCCCCGGATGGGTTATTGGCAGTTTGATCAAGGTTTTTTTGGAGGGAGGGGAAACCCCTGTGAAAAAGGTGTCCTAGTTCATGGAAGCTGGAACTTTGGGGGGGACAACAAATTGTTGGGGAAAGACTTGGAAAGATTGGGCGGGGCATGTGGGGGCCCGGGGAGGTAACCAGGAGGTTTGTCTGGGGGTGTATGTGTGTAAGTGTAGTTCTAGGAAACGAACGCGGCATAAAGGATAGATGAGGTCATTACCCCGGGGCAAGGCCGGGAAGAAGTCTGGGCAGGGGTTGGGGACCCGAGGCCTAGTGGTAGAGGTGTGCCTGAGTTGAAAATTTGGGGAAAAGGGGGGGGGTGCCCTGCACAGGAAACTCGAGGGGCAAAGGAAACGTTTTGAAAAGTGCAGTGGGTAATCCCAGAGGCATAGGGGAAAGCTGCCCTTCGTAATTTTCGATGTGTCACGCAAATGTTAAGGTTTAAACTGAGGTCAAGAAATTTTGGGTTTGGATGGTTTTTAAAGGCGGTTTGATTTTGACATAGCTTTTTGCAAGGCAAAAATCACAGGGCTGGTGTGTGTTGAGGGTAAAAGGTTTCGGTTATGAAACCAGGGGTTTGCAATTGAAAGGTGGGTAGCTTGCGGTAAAGGAGACCAGCCCCTTGCGTGTCATGGGTTTGGGGAAGAGGGGGGGGGGGGGGGGAGGATCGTGAGGGTGGTGGGTCTGGGGTGAGAGTCGAGTTATTTTTCGTGGGATTTTACTGCCAGCAATAGTAATATCAGGGTAAAAGTAGATTTTGTCAGAGAGGTATTTCGTATCACTTTAAGGTTTGCTGCTATAACAGTAATAGGGGGTGATTGGAATTGTGTGATTAGGGTGGTGATGTCGAAAAGGAGGGGCGGGTTTGTGTGAGTGTGTGAGGGGTGTAGCGAGTTTGGGGGTTTTTGATGTGGTGGGGAGGGGGGGTTACCTATGGGCATACGTTCGTCCTAGGGGATATGAGCGCGATTAGACGAATTTATATTAAGCAGGGTATGATGTTTTGAAAGGGGGCAAACCTTCGTGTGGGTTTTCTGATCACAGAGCGGTAATACGATTTGATGGGGAGGGGTGGGGGTATATTCTGGGTACTGGAAATTAAATGTAAGGGTTCTTAAAGGAGGGGGGGGGGGCCTTTTTTTTTAGGATTTGGGGGTTGCCTTTTTTTGGGGGTAGGAACAGGGGGAAAAGATCTGTTAGATTGGGGGGAAAGCAGGCAAAACCTGGAATAGCGAATTTTTTTAAGGCTAGGGGGGGGAGGGGTGAGGGGGCGTTTTGGGTTGCAAAATTATTGGAGGGACAGTTGCAAGATTGTTATGTTGGGGAGGTGGGGGGAAGGATGTTTTTTTGGGCAACTGCGGAGTAGAATAGCTGAATTACACAATATAGGTTTTATCAATTAGGGTTGGGGGGGGGTTAGAGGATGTTTTGTGGGGTGATAAAACCCTTGGGATGTTTTTAAATTTCGGGGCCGACAGAGTGTAACCACCTTTTTACAATTGGAGACAAACCCTTTGGGGGGGGGGGTTCCAGTGGGTCGATCCATCCAAACGGAAAATATGAGTCTCTATCTGATTGTGGGTTTGAGGAAATGGAGTTGGAGGGAGGGGGTTCCCGGGGGGGTATTTTGAGGGGGTTCCATAGCGTTTTAAGGAGCGGATAGAGTGGGGTTGGAGGTTTGGGATAAGTGAGGTGGGTGGGAAGAGGCGTTTTGGGATGAGTACCCGGAAAACACAGGGGGTGGGTATACCAATGATTTTTTTTAGGGCACATTGGGGGTGTATTGGCAGTGTTTTTTAGGCTATTGGTCTATGTTAATAGTGGGAATTTTGGGGATTCGCAAAGTACGGGTTTTATATTTTGGTGCCAAAGAAGGGGGGGGGGGGGTAGAGAGTTGGTGCTTACCCTGCAATATCTTTGATGGCGTTTAAAGGTTTTGCGAAAAATTTTTTGGGGAATAGCTGAAAAAGGTATGGGGCGGGGATAAATGGGGCAGTTTGGTATCCCGGGGGGGAGTATGCGGGTGGTCTGGTCTATTCGGGATTTCCTTGAGGGTAGAAAAAGGGAGGTATTCTAGGTCTGGATTGGAGAAAACTTATGATTTTGGGATGGGAATTTTTGATTGAGAGTAGGTGAGAATGGGTTTTGGAGGGAGGGGGTTGGAGGGGGAGGCTTTTTATGAGAATGCATCAATGAGGTTTCGGTAAAGGGGGTTGGGGGTTCGTGCATGGGAAGGGGGTTTTAAAGGAGGGGGTCCATCTCCCCAAATACTCTTTGTTATGCGAATCCTTTCTATGTTCTGGGTTTTGGGGGGATGGGAAGGTTGGGGGGGAGGAGGGTATTGTGGGAAATTGTTGGTTTGTAGATGATAAAAAGTTTTACTTTAAAGAGATTGGAAAATTTAAGAAAAGTGGGGAAGGGGGAATTGAGATTTTTGGGAAAGCACTGGGGTGAGATTAATAAGCAAAATCACGGTTGTTGGAGGTAGGCGCTTGGGTAGGGGGACCTTGGGGGGGGTTTTGGGGGATAAATGTAGATAGGCTAAAAATTTGGGGGATTTTGTTTTTGGAGATGCACGGAAAAGCAGGGGGGTTAATTCAGAAATGGTAATGGACAGGCTTTTTAGTGGGGGGAGTCTAAGGGCCGGGGGTGTAAAATTGCAAACAAAAAGGGTTTTGGTGGGGAAATCGCTGATTTATAGTAAGGGTGGGGGAGTGGCGGAAATTACCATTACGAAGTCAGGATATTATGTATTTTTGGAAATGCAAAGAAGAGTCTTAAGGGATGTATGGGGTTATGGGGGGGGTGGTTGGGCAAAGTGTGTAATGACTGCGGTAAGGCAGGGGGGATGGGGATTGATTGCTTTTGGGGTTTGGGTGAAGGCGCTAATGTGAAACAGAGGTATTTCGGGCAGCGGGGGAAAGGGGGTCTTCGGGGGGGGGGGGTGATGGGGGTTCCCCAAAAGGGGGGGGGCAGGGCTTTTTTGGGTGTGAAGATATGTTAGGTTTATGTTAAAGGTTCGCAATGTTAAAAAACTCAAGGGAAAACGGTTAGTGGGTGTGGGCCTCGTCAGGAAAATTTAAAGCAAGGGATGGCAGTGTATCCCCCCCTATGATTGGAGAGTGATATGGGTGGAATTCGTAAATTAAGAATACCCGGGAAGAGCGAGGGAAATTTTAAAAAAGATTTTTATGGGGACTTTAGCTCAAAAAGGTCTAAGACGAAGGGGGGTTTTTGAGATAGGCGTCATGCGCTTTTGTGGGGAAATTGA